CATGATCCTTCAGAAATAATTCTAATATGCTGATTTGCTGCTGAAAAAACCTTTATTATTATTATTATTACGCTGAAATTTTTTTCAGGTTTCTTTGTTGAATAGAAAGTTCAGAAGAACAGCATTTATCTGAAATAGAAATCTTTTGTAACATTATAAATGTCTTTATCATCACGTTTGATCAATTTAAAGCATCCTTGCTAAATAAAAGTAATAATTTCTAATAAAAAAAAATTATACTGACTCCAAGCTTTTGGTATAGTGCATGTATAATGCTACAAAAGCTTTTTATTTCAGATAAATGCAGATCTTTGGATGTCTCTATTCATCAAAAAATTCTGATGTACTCAACTGTTTTAAATATTGATAATAATAATAATAACAACAACAACAAATATGTTTCTTGAGCAGCAAATCAGCATATTAGAATGATTTCTGAAGATCATGTGACACTGAAGACTGGAGTAATGATGCTGAAAATTCATCTTTGATCACAGAAATAAATTAAATTTTAAAATATAATCCACTCGAAAGCAGTTATTTTAAATAGTAGTTTGTATAGACTATATACAGAAAAAGGGGCCAAAATCGCACCTTTTGGGGTACAACAGCTTGTCACTGGAGCAGTACTCTTAAAATGACATATCTGTTAAATTTTTTATCCCTAATAGTTAGCCTACAAATTAGTACCTTAAGGGTACAAATTACTACTCTAAGGTACTAATATGTTCCTATTAGGGGTTAAAAAGGTACAAAGATGTCCTTTTAAGAGTACTGTTACAGTGTCAAGCTGTTGTACCCCAAAAGGTACAATTTTGGCCCCTCTTTTTCTGTGTGGCCTGGATGAGTGTGAGATTTCCCGGCCTGAAATTGTAATAATCTCATTTACTATCCTAACTGCGTGAGTTTTTTCAGATTTGCCTTTGTTATCCATACTAATATAAAATATCTGGGGGGACGCTATTTTGTGTTTATTTTATTATTAAAGTTTTGTTTGAATGTTTGGAGGCGGGAACCGGTGAACATTCAAACAAAACTTTTAAAAAACTTTAAAAGTAATTTTTATAAACGTGCCTTATTAAAAAACATAACTGGTGTGCATTTTGAGACAAAATAAAGGCACTGATATATATTTTAAGATCAGTCACAGCAAGTTTCTTTCAGTTGAAACAGCTCAGGCTTAGATTTGAGTCTGGCATTAGGCTTAAGCCTTGTCTGTGAAACCGGGGGATAGTCATTTAAATGGTTGTTATAAAAACTTGTTTATATTCTACACAAATGTATAGGCCTAATTTATTTATAATTTGGCGATATGATTAGACGGTTTTATCTTCCTGAGGTAAATGTCACGTAACTAACACATTCTTCACAGGCTGTTATACTGATGATTTCCCTGGTTAAAACCACTTATAGGCACAGAAATTATGCGTGATTGTAAGTTGTACTTTATTTTCAACATATCCTCTGATGTACATTCATGTTATAACTTAAAGTGAAGAATTGTTCATTGTGCTCCGTGCTGCCATTGCCTGAGGCAGGTAATGCAAATCTATCCCAGACTACATTAGATGGAAACTTTTATTTGTTTTTTTCCAAATTTGTTCATAAAAAATGCTTTCAATTCAAGGATATAGAATTTAGTAGGTCGCAACTGAATTGTTCCTAGCAATAATTTTGATCAATTAAAATATATTTATATGTAACCACTGTCGTTGTCATCATACCACGGACATTACCTGAGATGGTAAAATCCACATGAAATCAAAATTTACAATATTTATTTTGTTAGCGTACATTGCTAGTCACCAATTAATCTGTGCAAGTTAATCATCTGAAAAAATGTGTTTGTTTTGGTAATCTTTAATCAAAATCTGATAATTTGCTTCCGCTCTGGAATGGCATGCCTTCTCTGATGACGTCAATTTGACAGCTTGGGCAGAATATGCTTAACAACGCGCCTCCAGTCATTAGTCTGCTGTGAGTGAGAGATGAGAGGAGGAGCGCAAAAACAAAACCCCGCCCTCTACTCAATATTCCGTTTCAGTTGGAAATACGCCACCACACTGAAATCCAGTCGGCAGCAACTTCCGGTTCACGCGGACTTTAAAGTAAATATGTCAGCAAACTGTGCTCTTTCAAGGATGTGCATTTAATGCATGGCCAAAGTAAGAACATAATCTAAGTGTTTAAAACATGCAAAGTAGGATTGCCAACTGTCCCCGTATTTAAGCAACATTACATATTAAATCCATACAGAAAGCAGTTTATGTCACGCCCAGTTTAGGGAGCTAAAGTTTCTATTTACAATGTTTGCAGCTTTGAGCAGTGTAGCTAATTACAGACATGCCCATTGAACCGATGAACTGAGATGAGTGACATTATACACAGGCTAAACAACAGCACAAATATTTTGACTGTCCCTTATACTGGGCTGCTTATACTTTATCATAAGTATAATTATATAATTATGAAAATATTACAATATTTTTAGTCAGTTTATAATGTAATACATTTCTCATAATGTAATAATTGTTATTACATTATGAGCTCAAGATTTGCCACCACACTGAAATCCAGTCGGCAGCAACTTCCGCGGTTCATGCGGACCTTAAAGTATATATGTCAGCAAACTGCGCTCTTTCATGGATGTGCATTTAATGCATGGCCAAAGTAAGAACATAATCTAAGTGTTTAAAACATGCAAAGTAGGATTGCCAACTGTCCCCGTATTTAAGCAACATTACATATTAAATCCATACAGAAAGCAGTTTATGTCACGCCCAGTTTAGGGAGCTAAAGTTTCTATTTACAATGTTTGCAGCTTTGAGCAGTGTAGCTAATTACAGACATGCCCATTGAACCGATGAACTGAGATGAGTGACATTATACACAGGCTAAACAACAGCACAAATATTTTGACTGTCCCTTATACTGGGCTGCTTATACTTTATCATAAGTATAATTATATAATTATGAAAATATTACAATATTTTTAGTCAGTTTATAATGTAATACATTTCTCATAATGTAATAATTGTTATTACATTATGAGCTCAAGATTTTATTACATTTTGACGAAATTATTACATTATGAACATTTTAGTACAATAATAATGTAATACTTATTACATTATGTGCAGTTTTTACATTATGTGCAGTTATTACATTATGAGTTGCTACATAGCGTGTGGCGTTAACGTAACGTCGGTCGGTGTGTGGAGTTATTTTAACGTGTGGTGGCATCTGCCGTTAACTTATTATGGAAAGCCATACGGGTCACAATTCGCCATTAACCAGACGCCTGGTGTAAAATATGGCGTTTTTTAGTACAGACGGCGTAAATTGCGGCGTTTTCACAGCAGAACCGCCGTTAATGTCGGCGTTTATTTATCGAAAGCCAAATGGTTCAGAATTCACGTGCTTTTCACCACCATATCAATATTAAAACGCTGTTTTCATAATGCCACCAGGCGTTAAATAAGCGCCGTGTGGCGTTCCATACTACACATACTGAAGCGCTCGTGACGCTTGCTGTGATATTAACGTCTGCCGTCTCACTAAACGAGTACATAAATACGTGAACAGCATCTCCACAACTGCTCTGAGAGTCACTTATGAGCATTTGACCGTTTCATTTGTGTAAAACTCCTTTTACAGAACCTAAGAAATGTAAAGGTATTCACGGCAATCCGTCAAAATAAAAGTTCGGTTTACCCTGAAGTCATTGTGGCAGAAATAGCCTAGATTACTATTGTTCAGTAGAATGTGTGTAATAGGCTATAATTAATTATTGTAATGATTAAAACCTTATTTTTTAAGGGATAATCATACAATATTTCTTCAATGTTTTTAATTGTAATTTTAAATCCCCTTTATTTAAAAAAAAAAAGTTTACTTTTCATTAATTAAAATATAAATTAAATTAATGTTTTGTGCCTTAAAAATTGTAAATACACAACACAGAATTTCTGAGGGAAAAAAATCATAGGGCTATTGTAAGAATAAATTAAACTTGCTTTTATGCTTTCAAATAATTATACATGCTAAAACACAGAATTTGGTTACAATAAAACATAAGGTTGGAAAAAATAAAACATTTCATAGGGCCCTAAACATGAAATTTTTGTTAAACTTTTAATAAATTGATGTTAAATTGCTTAAGTTTCATGATTTTAATTAATTAGACATGCTTTTTGCTTAATACAATTTAATTTAACCATTAAAAAGGAGTCCAAAAAATGTAAACAGAACCCCCCCCCCCCCCCCCCAAAACACTGTAGGCCTATATAGATAGATAGATAGAAATGATTATTAATAACATTTTTAAGGAAAAAAGAAAAAAGTGAATGTTTTCATTCTTTTTGACTCACGCCCATCCCTCCCTTCTGAAAAAAAAGCAATAGAAACCATCACAGAATTTGTAATGGTTTTACTGGTTATAATGGGACTTGTATTGGTTTTAATGGAAACTATAATGGTCCCTGTGGGTTTCTACTGGTAATTGGTCACCTTCTATTGGCGGCTTGTTAAAACCAATAAATCCTAATGGAATATGCCCTATGTGCCAAAACACAGAAAACTTTTTTTTTTTTTTTTTAATGGTTTACATTTTTCAATGTTTCTCCTTTCAGCAGGGCTGGGAATTGCCATTGCCCAAATGTTCGAACTGAGTCATGCGGTGCAATGCTGTGAGTCAAGTGTGATTTGTTGGTGATATCTGTCAAAGAGCAGATGGTGTTCATATTTTTTTTAAAACATCACTGACAATGCTTTAATTTGTCACTGATTTCCTGGGTACTCTTGGCCAGTTATCTATATGATGTTTATGTTAAATATCCAGAGTCAATACACCGATGAAGCGCGGAGCAGTAGAATTCCTGCCTTGTTTGGATTTCCCTGCAAACGTCAGTTTGAAAAGAGAAAGCGCAGCTGCTTCGCTCCGCCCCGTGACTGGGGCGAAGCAAAGAGCGTTTGTCCCGTTATATCAGTGCGCCCAGAGGCTTAAACCCAGAGAAACTAGAATGCTTGAAAGACAAGGGGGAAAGTTCCGTTTCCTCCCGTCAAATTGTGAGGAAAATGGCGAGTCTGTGGAGACTTGCGACTGAATAAGGAGAAGGGTTATGTGAATGGAGTATATCTTTGTAGTGAGGTGAGGAAACATTCTGTCTTCAGTGGAGTATGGCACAACGCGAGCCTTCGTTGCATGGAAAAGGAAGCGTCAACTTTATAGACGTTTCAGCGTGACGCGTTTTCACTTCACTAATGTGGATTGTACGCGCCCTGGGCAGCTACCGAAAAAGCTGTCTTCATCGAGCAAGACAGAAGTGACCAGCGAGCTTCAATATCATTTGGATGAGTTTAACCGATGCATATTCTGATCGATACATCTGAAATATGTTTACCTCACGTATAACGGGACAACACTCACCTTCGGGTCGCGCAACGTGTACGCGAACGCACTTTGCAGATGTTAGATAATCACAGTCGTCAGTCATTTGACTCCAGCATGCACATGTCTGTTTGAGGGATTGTTGCGTATGAGTGATTTGCTGTACTGACTGCGCGATGGCCCTCAGGTCCAGAAGACCATTGGTGAGCGTCATCGTGGGGGTTTTTCTTGGCTTCACAGCCGCATCGTGGCTGGTTGTGCCCAGAGTTGTGGAGATTAGTGTGAAGAACAGAAGGTCTTCAGTGTGTACATACTACAGTAGCGGCAGGGCTCAGGCTAAAGTTTCAGACACCGCCCACAGTACCTCATCTACCATTGGCAGACACGAGCATCTGCAGCCACTCTTCTCCAGCCAGGAAGGCAGTGATGAAGGTGAAGAGCATCTTTATAGGACAGGGAACAGTGATGGAACTGGTCCTGTACCTCCAGCTAGTTTCTTGTATGTGGGGGTCATGACAGCTCAGAAGTATTTGGCCTCCAGGGCTGTGGCTGCCTACAGGACATGGACCCCCAACATCCCTGGGCGGGTGGAGTTCTTCTCCAGTGAGGGCTCTGAGAAGGTGCCCCTGCCAATTCCAATGCCCGTCATCCCGCTGACAGGAGTGGATGATTCATACCCTCCGCAGAAGAAATCTTTCATGATGCTGAAGTACATGCATGACCATTATTTGGATAAATACGAGTGGTTTATGAGGGCTGATGACGATGTCTACATTAGAGGTGAATAATAGGGGTATGATTAAAAAGGGGACCTTGTTGAAACATTTTGATGAATAGTAGAGCTTGAAAAATATTTCTACGACCAACAGCCTTTGAAATTTTGGCAATAAGTTAAACGGCCTTTTCCTGGAAAATTAGAGAAAGTACAACGTTTTGGAAGCCTGTTGTAGGACCATCGAGTTTTTTTGCTTTGTCAATTTGCGTTTGCATTGTGCATGTTATTTTCTTGACAGTTGAGCTTCCACCAATTACTTATCACTGTAATGCATCCAGACATTTTACTCTAAACACTTAATTTAAATAACTATTTTTATATATTAGTGTAATGACCCTAGTAAAAAAAAAAACCTATGCCATAATTGATTCAAAATACATTTATTTCATACTAAGTAGACTTCAAATCTATTAACATATGTATTGACATATCATTTTATTTGGAGTATTTCTTAATTGCATAATGCACATTTCTTAATATTATGCTTAAAATGTGTTTTAATATCACTATTAATAAGGCTTATATGATCTCTGTATAATATGAGTCTTTACATGCAAGTGCACCTGAAGTATACTTGCAATAGTTCCACTTTAGCATAATCAAATATAGTTATATAGTTGGACTTACTTTAGCACTATTAAAGTGAATTAAGCACAAGTTTAGTTGTTCCAATTTAGCAGACTTTAAGTATACCAGTTTAGTGTACCAAAAACTACAATTGCAGGCTATTTTTATTAAGCACATAAATATGTATTTTGTAGTATAAATAACTGTATTTCAAATATATTTTAGTATTTTTGTTCACTAGGGCAGAATTGGAGGGTAAATAAAAATAACTTTTCTGTCAACACAAATACATTGGTCAGTCAACAAATTTGGTGTCAGTCCCTTTTTCCCCCATCAAAACGGTTTTGCACAAAGATATGAATAGTACTTTTGAAGAATACATTTCATGCAAAAAATACATGATAAATCAGTGTCAGTAGCAAATTATTTTACATGGAGCAGGTGAGGTAACCTAATGTACTACCTATATTGTATATTTCATTTTATGAAAAATGTTACATTAAAAAGTACATTATTAAATGTCAATATAATATGTGTAAGCACATTAGTCATCAATTACTCACCATGCAGAATTGATATAAATGGCAAAGAATTGTTTGATGTTCTGTTTCTCTTAATCTCATTGTTTTCTCTAATCACTCTGCCTCCTGTAGGTGAGAAGTTGGAATTGTTTCTTCGCTCTCTCAACAGCAGTAAACCACTGTATCTGGGTCAGACAGGTCTTGGTACCACAGAGGAGCTGGGTAAACTGGCCCTGGAGCCTGGAGAGAACTTCTGTATGGGTGGTCCAGGGATGATCTTCAGCCGAGAAGTTCTCCGCAGGATGGTGCCACACATCGGGTCCTGTCTTAGAGAGATGTATACTACTCATGAAGATGTGGAGATAGGACGCTGCGTCAGGCGTTTTGGAGGGACCCAATGTGTCTGGTCATACGAGGTAATGCTGGTTAACATCCTCCTGTGGCATTTGGGTTGAATGGGTTGAAGTGCACACTCTTATGGCGCTTTTCCACTGCATGGTACGGCACGGTACGGCTCGCTTCCGGTTACTTTTTGGGGATTTTCCAGCCAAGCCGAGTCGTACCACGCAGTGGAAAAGCGCCATTAGAGTCTGTAGTGTTCAGGTTTGTCTTAACCTCTTATTATATTTGCTGTTTTGCTTCAAATTAAAAGAACATTATTACATTATATTTCTTGCACCATTACATTTTAGGCACAAATATGTGCTGGTCAGGATCATATTTGTTGTTACATGCACCATTGTAATGTGACTAGATGTCTTTTCTAAATCAGTTGTCAGATTATTGTCTTCCATCTGTCGTTTTAGCCGACACTGCATGTACACATAGTGCTGTGCTGATGGAATAGTTGTGCCTTTCTGTAATTTTGGTGTTTTTTTAACATGCTATGTGTAATTTATTTTGACTGTACGAAAGCATAAAAAACATAATGTTTGTAGATATTTAGGAAACATGCTAAATTCACATATTTGTTTCTCAGAAAAACAATGCTACAGCTGCCATTCTACTTTGAAATATGCCTTTCGTTTTATTTTGGTCTGTGATTTATGGGATCATATTCCTGCCAAATGTATTGCAGTCACGGATAAAAAAATAACAAGCGTGA